GTATGTAGTGTGTGTATGGGGGGCACTGTATGTGTGTTTGGAGGAGCGTGTGTATGGGGGCAGTGTTTGTTGGGCAGTGTGTGTAGTGTGTGTTTGGGTGCAGTGTGTGTAGTGTGTGTATGTGGGGCAGTGTGTGTAGTGTCTGTATGGGGGCAGTGTTTGTGGGGAAGTGTGTGTAGTGTGTGTATGGGGGACAGTGTTTGTAGGGCAGTGCGTGTAGTGTGTGTATGGGGGGCAGTGTGTATAGTGTGTTTATGGGCGGCAGTGTTTGTGGGGCAGCGTGTGTAGTGTGAGTATGGGGGCAATGTTTGCATGGGGGGGAAGGAGGGTAGGGAGGCTTTTTAATAATAATAATAATAATAATAAAAAATGCATTTAATAAAATAAATATTCGTTATGTCCCCCCTCCCTTCTTACCTTTACATGTTTTTTTCAGGTTTTCACCATATTTTTTTTTTTTTTTTAAGTAAAATATATGACATGATACAAATAATGGTATGTAAAGAAAGCCCTTCTTGTCCTGAAAAAAACAATATCTAATTTGTATGGGAACCGTAAATAAGAGAGCGGAAAATTACAGCTAAATACAAACACCACAAAAGTGTTAAAACTGCTCAGGTCCATAATGTACAACATGGCCAAAACAGGCCAGTCCTTAAGGGGTTAAAGTTTACACTGTCAAGGACATGCTATATTGAAAGACCATAAAAATGATCTATATGTTGAGCTAGCAAACATGCAACAAACTTATACATTTTAAGATATTTCTGTTAAAATGGTGGTCCTTCTCCCACTTGTCAATCAATTCTTGGTCTATAGACCTATATTGTGGTGAGGATGTGCTTAGAATTGGGTGACAGGGAGAGCAGGAGACCATTCTGCAGGTAGTTTATGTTGGAGAAGTGTGGGATCAAGGTGTGACTAAAGGGTGGTTTTTACAGAAATACCGCCTGCACACCTCACTGAAACCCTGAAAACAAATGCTAAAGTAAACAAATATTAAGTTTATCTTTAAGCTAAATTCCATAGCTACTGCTTTAAGAGTGATTGTAACTAAAGTTGCATCTGTGATGAGCAATTCATTACTGCTATCTCTGACTTAGCTCTGACTAGCTCTGCCCCTGTTCTTCCTCTCCTCTCAGATTCTTCAAACAGGAAGCCTTGTACTTCTGTAGACAGGGTTACCGTTAATTTGATTAGAGCATCAACTCTAAGCCGATCAGTAGCACCCTATTTACAAAACAGCTTGAGAAAAGCACGTGAGCTACTGATTGGTTAAGAGCATCAGATGTCCAAAGCGTCCTGCTTGAAGAATCTGCGATCAGTGGAAGGACAACTACTGATTGGTTGAGAGTGTCAGATGTCCAAGGCGTCCTGCTTGAATAATCTGCAAGTAGTGAAAGGACAACTACTGATTGGCTGAGAGCATTAGCTGTCCGGGGTGTCCTGCTTAAAGAATCTGCGAGGAGTGGAAGGACAAAGACAGAGGTATAGAGAGAAGACTTTAGGGTTCAATCCCTAATAGACATGTGCAATTCGTTTCGTTACTAATGTTAATTCGGACAAAATTCGGGCAGTTCAGACATTCGGACACGTCCTCCCCCCTGACTCCCACCCCTGAGCGGTGGGTGGGGGCCCTAAATACTAATTAGGAGGGGCACCTAATGTCCTCCCCCCTGGCCCCCACCCCTGAGCAGTGGGTGGGGGCCCTAAATTAGAATGAGGGGGGGAGCTGATGTCCTCCCCCCTGGCCCCCACCCCTGA